TACACAGCCCTAAACACCTCATTGTCCTACACAGCCCTAAACACCTCATTGTCCTACACAGCCCTAAACACCTCATTGTCCTATCACAGCGCTAAACAATGCTACAAACAGGCTGTCTAGATAGATTTTTTAAACACAGATGTACACTGAAACAAACACATGGATGACAAAAAATAAAGAGGATGTGTAAAGACTGATTGTGCAATTTGAGTGCATACAATAATATGCAGTAGTCTGAGCATAATTGTACAATATCCAGGAAGGCAGAATTGAACTAGGAATGCTAGCAGATGTATAGCCGACAATCAACACTGTTCTGGATTCCATTGATAACATTTATCTTGATCCCTATGACATGAAAGTATGCCACCCTCCCCATCTTCATGATATAATGTAGTCATTATTTAGCGGGATCTTTCTCAATCTGACGGTGACTAGATTTAGTCCCACCTGATTAAGCAGTATACACTATCAGTACTTAGGGAGGCTGCACAACAAATTTTCTTGAAATGTAAAAACAAATGAGTGTTCACATATTGTGAGTTGTAATGTATAACATTATCATTTTCTGATTAGCCATGTTTCTGCTGTTCTTGACATATGTTATCATAACTGAAAGTTGGGCACATGTGCAGTATTGCAATATATTAATCTTTTAGTCATATCATTTTCTATTTCTGAATTCATTTTTAGAGTAGATATTATGTGGTATGTAATGTTTGCTCCCTTGGCTTTGGGTCCTTGTAAAATATGAAAACATGTTTGCCTTAGTTTCATTACACGCTGTTACATTTTGTGGTGTAGCTGCAGTCAAGATATTACTGTTTCCTTTCACTTATAATGATCTGCTGCTTGCTTGGGGTCAATAAACCAGATTTGCATCATTGCAGTCAAGATATTACTGTTTCACTTATAATGATCTGCTGCTTGCTTGGGGTCAATAAACCAGATTTGCATCATTGCAGTCAAGATATTACTGTTTCACTTATAATGATCTGCTGCTTGCTTGGGGTCAATAAACCAGATTTGCATCATTGCAGTCAAGATATTACTGTTTCACTTATAATGATCTGCTGCTTGCTTGGGGTCAATAAACCAGATTTGCATCACTGCAGTCTGGTTGAGAAACTAGTGACTGAAGAAGTAAGGCATATCCAGTCCCCAAAACATGAAGCAAAATAAATAAGCTGAGAAATACCAAAATACATAGTTTTGGTGTAAAAAGAAAGTATATCATCATCATTCTTTATTTGGCAAGCAGAAGTAGAAAAGAAGAAGCTAAGAAGTAGAATATAACATTTAAAATACATGAACTACAACAACTCTAGCTGTGTCTGACACATAAAATACATGAACTACAACAACTCTAGCTGTGTCTGACATATAAAATACATGAACTACAACAACTCTAGCTGTGTCTGACACATAAAATACATGAACTACAACAACTCTAGCTGTGTCTGACACATAAAATACATGAACTACAACAACTCTAGCTGTGTCTGACACATAAAATACATGAACTACAACAACTCTAGCTGTGTCTGACACATAAAATACATGAACTACAACAACTCTAGCTGTGTCTGACACATAAAAATACATGAACTACAACAAACTCTAGCTGTGACTGACATAAAATACATGAACTACAACAACTCTAGCTGTGTCTGACACATAAAATACATGAACTACAACAACTCTAGCTGTGTCTGACACATAAAATACATGAACTACAACAACTCTAGCTGTGTCTGACACATAAAATACATGAACTACAACAACTCTAGCTGTGTCTGACACATAAAATACATGAACTACAACAACTCTAGCTGTGTCTGACACATAAAATACATGAACTACAACAACTCTAGCTGTGTCTGACACACAATAATATGGAGAAAAAAACCGTCATGAAACTAACAGACATGCCTTGGTCTAAGCATTTATCTTGTATGATTAATATCAATAAAGAGGGACAGAGTATATGTTTTTTTTTTTAATCATGAGTTTTACAAGAAAAATAAATATATTTAAACACTATTACACGTATTGCTAGCTCATTCTATATAAAAACATTGTGAATGTAGAACAAAGCGAGAATTTATGAGGTCTGCTTTACAAGAAGATATGTTTTTAAAAAACAACAGAGATTAGAGCTACAAAGCCCTGACATCAAACAATTGCAAACAAAATTCAACACAGACAGATACTATTGTCACTTAGGATCAAGTGTCTTACCCACTGGATTTTCTCATTCACCTTCGCTCACATCTTGCAAACTTCCCCAACATCTACCAGTTCAGACAGATTTTGTAATTCACTTTCGTTCACATCTTGCAAACTTACCCAACATCTACCAGTTCAAACAGATTTTGTGATTCACCTTCGTCCACATCTTGCAAACTTTCCCAACATCTACCAGTTCAAACAGATTTTGTGATTCACCTTCGTCCACATCTTGCAAACTTCCCAAACATCTACCAGTTCAGACAGATTTTGTGATTCACCTTCGTCCACATCTTGCAAACTTCCCCAACATCTACCAGTTCAAACAGACCTTCATCCACATTGTAAACTTCCCCACCTACCAGTTCAGGACAGATTTTTGTGATTCACCTTCGTTTACATCCACATCTACCAGTTTGTGAAACCTTCGTCAACATCCCCAACATCTACCAGTTCAGACAGATTTTGTGATTCACCTTCGTTTACATCTTGCAAACTTCCAAACTCTACCAGTTCAAACAGATTTACAAATTTGTTAATTCACCTTCTACATCTTGCAAACTTCCCAGTTCACCAGTTCAGACTGATTTTGTGATTCACCTTCGTCCACATCTTGCAAACTTCCCCAACATCTACCAGTTCAGACAGATTTTGTGATTCACCTTCGTCCACATCTTGCAAACTTCCCAACAGATTTTGTGATTCACCTCTACCAGTTCAAACATCCTACCAGTTCAATTTTTGTAATTCACCTTCGTTCACATTCTTGCAGATTTTGTGATTCTTCCCAAAACTTCCCCAACATCTACCAGTTCAAAACTGATTTTGTGATTCACCCCCAACATTCGTTCAAACCAGATTTTGTGTTCTTGCAAACTTCCCCAACATCTACCAGTTTCAGACATATTTTGCGTGATTCACCTTCATCCACATCTTGCAAAGTGATTCACCTTCCCACACAACTCCCCAACATCTACCAGTTCAGACAGATTTTCCAACATCTACCAGTTCACCAGATCGTTCGTCCACATCTTGCAAACTCCCCAACATCTACCAGTTCAGAGACAGATTTATGATTCACCTTCGTCCACAACTTCGCAAACTTCCCAACATCTATCAGTTTAGACAAACTTCCCCAACATCTACCAGTTCGAAACAGATTTTGTTATTCACCTTATCAGATAAAAGCACCCTCTGTTTAGAAAACTTCCCCAACATCTACCAGTTTAATCTGTTGTGACAGGATTTCTCTCTCACATTCACACACACACATGCATGAGAGAGATAGAGGGAGGGAGAGAGAGAGAGAGAGAGAGAGAGAGAGAGAGAGAGAGAGAGAGAGAGAGAGAGAGAGAGAGATACAGAGTGAGAGAGAAAGAGAGAGAGAGAAAGAGAGAGAGAGAGACAGAGAGAGAGAGAAAGAGAGAAAGAGAGAGAGAAAGAGAGAAAGAGAGAGAGAAAGAGAGAGAGAGAGAGCACATGCATGTCTGTATAATATAAATACTACCCAATCAGCAAGGCAGCTGACGCTGATGCTATTAATAGTTTGAAAAACTAATAATTAACTACAAATGGAGATAATGTAGTAATTATTGAAACAAACAAAGCAGGTCATGTATGTTTGTATGCTTTCATATGAAAATTCCAGTTTCCAAAAGAGTTTATGTACAGCTAATCGAATAAAATTTCAAATACATATAAAAATATGTAGGAGAACAATCTAAACATTTCAACATACAGGAATGGAAGTGTACATTTTGATAGTAACAAATGAAACAAACAAATCAACTGCAAATGTAATTTGATCGATGCATGAGGATTCACAGATTGTATGTCTATTGATACACCGGATGATATAAATCTATAAAACAAATCAATTTCAATACCTTCAGTCTTTGGTCCCTCCAGTCTGCATGCAATGTTCATGTTGCAAATTCTAATAGGCCCCTAACCATTTTCTTCTTTGATAAAAGTTTTTAGGAAAATCTGTTTTGTCATTTCTATTCAAACTGTCATTTCCCAGTGCAAATGTTCTCAAAATCAATCTATAGATCTGTCAGTAAAATGAGACTGTGTTTATTTGTTCTACCTATAAGGAAATCAGACTCCTCCTCCTTCTCAGGGTCAAAGAAGTCCATACATTATGAAAATATGTTTTGTGTGTGTCCTAAACCTAGCAACACAACATTCAGGAAAACAAACTTCAGTTCCAGATTGAGAATGTAATCCGTACTTGTTTCACATGCCATATAAATCTGATTTCCCCAACAAGCTTTTCACTTGATCAGCATATCTGTCAATCCCAAACAATATCTGTCAATCCCAAACAATATCTGTCAATCCCAAACAATATCTATCAATGCCAAACAATATCTGTCAATCCCAAACAATATCTGTCAATCCCAAACAATATCTATCAATGCCAAACAATATCTGTCAATCCCAAACAATATCAGTCAAGGCAAATATTGTTTATAAATTAAATGGTGGTGTCTAATTATTACCTTTCAAGCAAATATATATATACATATATATATATATATACACACACACTCATAAATCTATGTATACTGTGGTGTCCACTACCACATCACATTCCATGTTCATTAATTTCATTGCAACAAGTCTGATGCAGAGCTATGTGCATGGATAACAATGATCTACAACCTAACCTAACCAATATCTATCATAATCTATATAAAAAAAAAAGCTTATAAAATATATGTCTGTATACAGTTTGCATTTAAAATAGAAGTACTATTCCTATGGGTCTACATGTTGTTATTTGGCAGTGACTGATAATATTGTACCATGACATCCCATGCTTTAGGCGCCATAAAACCATCAGGCGGTGTGATACCTTCCCTGGCCATCTTTCGCATGCGAGTTCCTGAAATGAAATCATACTCGTCCTTTTTCTCAGGGTCAAAGAAGTCCATAGCTCGTTTACGTGTGTTATAGGCAGCAACCCTGAATGGAACAATTTCTAACTGTGTCAGACCTGGCGCCATTGTAAGAACCTGATCAAAGACAAATAAATATTCAATATTATTTCAACTGTTCAATGTCAAATTGACATACAAGTCCATAATATGAAAATCAAACGGAAACATATAAGTACTTGGGTGCAAACTTCAACTGCTCCAACATGCTGAGAGAAGAAATACAGTCTAGAATACAATCTGGAAATAAAGTATACTATGCCCTTCAACATCTGCTAAAGTCAAAGTGTCTGTCTCGCAACACCAAGATCACAATATATAAAACGTTGATAAGACCATTCACTTTATATGGCTCTGAAACGTGGAGCGTAACTAAAAGAGATGACGCCTTATTACAGGTTTCTAAAAAACAGTCTTACGACAAATCTTTGGACCCATCAAAGATGCAAAAAGCAGTGGATGGAGAGTGAGAAGCAACAATGAAATTCCTAATCTGTTTAAATCCCCATTCATCACTGGCATCATGAGAGCTAATAGAGTTCAATGGTTGGGGCATTTTGAAAGAATGTCAGATGACAGAGAAGTAAAAACTGTATACACGAGCGAGATTATTGGTCGTAGACCACAAGGCAGACCAAGAAGATGATGGAAAGATAATATCCAATCACACCTGCAAACACTTGGTGTCACCAACTGGAAAGAGAAGCCAACAGAGAGATGAATGGAGAGGGTAATATCTGCAACTTCAAGGGCTCGGAATGCTGAAGAATAAGAATGTAAAATCAACACTGAGTCAAAATCAATGATGAAATTTATCTTCTAACTATATCGCTGTCGACCTCTTGCTTACCTGCCTTGAACGTGTGCCTGGTATTAAGAGTGTTTATGTCCTTTAATATAGCCAAAATAGTTTAACTTCTTTCTTTTTTTTATTTATTTTGCAGCAACTTTATACTCCTAGTTTCTTCATAACGTCTGTATTTAACGTATAACCTAGACAAATGCATACTTCTGCATATTTTTTAGCCTGAAGAAACTGGAATTTGATTGTGTCAAATGTTACAATCCCTCAGAAAATGCTATTTCCATTTTATTTGAACACACTGGCCAGTTCTGGAATGGCTCATTATTTATTGGACAATTGTCACAGCAAAGTGACAGGTTGAGCCAGCCTCAAGTGGATACCAGCTGATGTCCTAGCAAGTCAAGTGGATACCAGCTGATGTCCTAGCGAGTCAAGTGGATACCAGTTGATGTCCTAGCGAGTCAAGTGGATACCAGTTGATGTCCTAGCGAGTCAAGTGGATACCAGCTGATGTCCTAGCCAGTCAAGTGGATACCAGCTGATGTCCTAGCCAGTCAAGTGGATACCAGCTGATGTCCTAGCCAGTCAAGTGGATACCAGCTGATGTCCTAGGCAGTCAAGTGGATACCAGCTGATGTCCTAGCCAGTCAAGTGGATACCAGCTGATGTCCTAGCAAGTCAAGTGGACACCAGCTGATGTCCTAGCCAGTCAAGTGGATACCAGTTGATGTCCTAGCCAGTCAAGTGGATACCAGTTGATGTCCTAGCGAGTCAAGTGGATAACAGTTGATGTCCTAGCGAGTCAAGTGGATACCAGCTGATGTCCTAGCGAGTCAAGTGGACACCAGCTGATGTCCTAGCGAGTCAAGTGGATTCCAGCTGATGTCCTAGCTAGTCAAGTGGACGCCAGCTGATGTCCAAGCGAGTCAAGTGGATACCAGCTGATGTCCTAGGGAGTCAAGTGGATACCAGCTGATGTCCTAGCGAGTCAAGTGGATACCAGCTGATGTCCTAGCGAGTCAAGTGGACACCAGTTGATGTCCTAGCGAGTCAAGTTGCCAGTGTCATGCTGACCATATCACTGTGTCAGTGCCAACTGGTCTATATATACCATTTTCACTTTAAACTGTACACTTTTCAAACCATCTAGGACATTTTTCAAATCAAACTGGATGATCTGCAAACCACCAAGGACGTTTTTCAAATCAATGTGGACATTTTTCAAATCATCCAGGAGGTTTTCAAATCAAATCGGAAGATTTTCAAACCACTGAAGATGTTTTTCATATCAAACTGGACGGTTTTCAAAACACAGGACATTTTTCAAATCAAACCAGACATCTTTCAAACCAAACTGGACAAAATTAAAGAACAGTTTTTTAAACCCTAAATTCAAGGATATGCTGGAACTTTCCAGATGTTTAAGAACACATTACATAATTCTTTCTGGGATGTTCTTTTGCGATATCTATAAATAGAGGAATGCGTTTTTTTATCCGTTTATTGTAGTCCTGTAAACTTAGCAAAGCACCCAAAAATGAGCAACCAATCTTACAAGGACGTGTATCTGAGGCAACGATGGTGTAAGCGAACTTCCTTAGCGCACAAAAAGTTTCTTATTAGGCTTGTGTTAGTCAATGGAAAAACTACCTACGAGACAGCTCAAGTCACTGGCATCAACCAGAGAACAGCAAGAAACATCATCAGTGCCTACAAACAAGAAGGTGCCATTTTCCAGCGAAACTGCGGTGGAAACAACAAAGAGAAGCTGACACCCAATGTCTTGCGAGCATTAAAGACATTGTTGAACGACATCCTGATGATACTTTGGTGCAGATACAGCAGCTAATGAAGGAGAACAGGACTGATTTATCCGTATCTTTAATTTTCAATAGCCTCAAAAAGCTTAAGATCACCCTAAAGAAGTGCCATTACAAACTTGACAGTGTCAACAGCATCAATTTAAGCCGGCAAACTTATGCTCTCAACTTCTCAGCACATGCTCCACAAGACAAGGAAAAGTGCATCTTCATTGATGAGTGTGGATTCAATTTTTATTTACTATGGACACAGGCTCGCTCAATGAGAGGGACACGATTAAACATTATTCTGCCCACAGTGGGAGGCCATTTTGTGACACTAATTGTGGAGATGAACAAGTGCTTAAAGTTACGATTGCAGGTGGTGTGATCACAGTAGCCAGGTGTAACCCAGGGAAAAACAATATTCCTAAGGCTGCTCAATCCGAATGAGTGAAAACTATTTTTCTACAGCAGGGTATCAATGTCTGACCTATAACGTTGAGAATGTGATCTTTAATGAGATCAATCTTTTGTGGAAATAAGATTTATTTCTGATGACTAACTTATCATGTCTGCATTTGTCGAAAACATCTCAGTCTGTATAAAGAGGGCATTCAGTTCAATTCTGTTATCAGAATGTCAAGGGTAAAATTCTGTGAACTGGGTGGACCCGATCTGTTGAGAAGACAATTGTAAACAGTGCATGTTGGAGAAGGTGTCCCAGACTAGAGCCGTTGGAGAAGGTGTCCCAGACTAGAGTCGTTGGAGAAGGTGTCCCAGACTAGAGCTGTTGGAGAAGGTGTCCCAGACTAGAGCTGTTGGAGAAGGTGTCCCAGACTAGAGCCGTTGGAGAAGGTGTCCCAGACTAGAGCTGTTGGAGAAGGTGTCCCAGACTAGAGCTGTTGGAGAAGGTGTCCCAGACTAGAGCCGTTGGAGAAGGTGTCCCAGACTAGAGCCGTTGGAGAAGGTGTCCCAGACTAGAGCCGTTGGAGAAGGTGTCCCAGACTAGAGCCGTTGGAGAAGGTGTCCCAGACTAGAGCCGTTGGAGAAGGTGTCCCAGACTAGAGCTGTTGGAGAAGGTGTCCCAGACTAGAGCCGTTGGAGAAGGTGTCCCAGACTAGAGCCGTTGGAGAAGTACTCTAGTTTCTAAGTCACTGTGATGACTAATATGTCAAAGTACTCTAGTTTATAAGTCACTGTCATGACTAATATGTCAAAGTACTCTAGTTTCTAAGTCACTGTGATGACAAATGTGTCAAAGTACTCTAGTTTCTAAGTCACTGTGATGATTAATGTGTCAAAGTACTCTAGTTTCTAAAACAGAATGTTATTTATATCCAAGGTGTCTTTAATGTCAGTAAAAATCAAGCCTCTTTCTTCTGGAGCTGTAAGTTTCATTATTGTTCTATTGAAGCCACTGTGATGTTTAATGTTTCTGAGACATAATGTAATTTATACCGCAGTTTGCTTCAACAACGAGGTCCTCTGGAATACATCTTTAAAAGCTACATCAATAATAACAGTAGCTGTAGTTGCCATCTTTCAACTGGAGATATTCTCCAGCACAACACTGAAAGAACAGCAGACATGCAACTTGCTCTGACCTTAGCTCCATGTGAAGGATCAAACAAATCTCTGCTACCATCTGGGTGTGGCATCCCAGCTGGATCCCTGCCTACAATGTAAAAGTTGGCCCCAGTGGCCATTCTAGCTTTAGCATGCCATTGTACCTGAAGAGGGAAAACAAAATAATATTGTGTTTTGACTAATAATCATGCTGTTTGTGATAGGAACACTCATGTCAATGGCTTTTAATCCTACATGTTAAGGCCCAAGCAACACTGTAAGGGTTGACTGAGAAGTTCCAACTTGCCCAAACGACACTCTCAGCGTTAATCATGTGTCCCGTACATACTGCTTCGCACACGGCTGCTTACTTGTTTCTAAAATTTCAAACTACCGTTAAAGTATTCAGGTAAGGTTACTCTGACAATTTCCTTTTAATAACATTCCGTTTCCCAAAATTCACATATTTATCGGATACATAGCCATATTTTTTTCAACAGTACATTTTCAAAGTTCGTTTTCTAGTGCCATGAATATCGATGTTCCAACTACAAGTAAGCGCGAGCGCGCGCGCGCGCGAGAGAGAGAGAGAGAGAGAGAGAGAGAGAGAGAGAGAGAGAGAGAGAGAGAGAGAGAGAGAGAGAGAGAGAGAGAGAGAGAGAGAGAGAGAGAGTGAGAGAGTGTGTGTGTGTGCGCGCGCGCGTGTGTGCGTGTGTGTAAAGGTCAATTTTCTGCCATTTTGCTTTAAAACTGTGTTCAGCACTCTGTGAGAACTTAGAGCCCCTGAGTGCTCAACAAACCCAGGAACTGATCATAACTTTGGAATAAGTTAGCATATTGAACAAACTTAAAAATGTTATTCTCAAATTTGGATATTCGCTACTCTTGTGGCTACAAAACCATGGTAAGTGAAGAATTTGTTTGTAAAATGTTGTTGTGAAATTAACACCTGCTGAATTCTTTCCTACTAACAATATTAAACATACATTTATCATCAGATTCAAAATATACTTTCATTTCTCTTTTAAAAAAATACATACTTTTGTATGGATTAAAAGTATATTACCTTCTCTATTGCCTTTCTTCTTCACCGCCCCTTCTGCCACTTTTGTAAAGAGAAATTAATGTGGGCTCATCATCATCATGTAGCAGGTCCTTTGCAGAACGTCGCTCTCATCCGTCTGCCTAAAAGAAACTCGGTCTCTCGCCAGTTCTCCCCCTCATGTACTTTCATATTCAAAAGAGTCACTTATATCCTGTGCCCGTCTGCGCGTTGGTCGGTCCCTGTCCCTCCTTCCTGGTACCATGCCTTCTGCTATAATTTTTTACAATCCGTTGTGGCGTTTGATATGACCAAAACTGTCAGCTTCCGAGACAGGATGCTGTTTATCAGCCAATCTTCCTTGATGTTCAGATCTTTCAAGAAGTCAGTATTTCTCCTCTTATTTGTCCAAGATATTCTGAGAATCTTTCTATAGCATTTCAGCTCAATAGCCCCTATTCTCTTTCTTGAGGGCTAGGGGATAGTCCATGATTCACATCCTATGTAGCCACAGGAAAGATGCATGCTCTCGAAATTCTAATTTTATCTCCTTGCTAGTGCTTAGACTTTTTAGGCTGTTTAATCTTTGCATTGCTATGGCCATCCTCATTTTAATTTCTGTCATAAACAGTCTCCACTGCTATTTATTATAGTTTATATATTAATTTGGGCTAAGTCTATCAAAATTCATGGGACTGAAAGAGTTAAAGTAAAGAAGCCTTTTTCAAACAATGAGATGTATAGGGTATATGTTGGTAGCCTTATGTATTTAGATCAACAGATACTTGATAATGTGGTAAATACCACACTTGCTGCTTTTACTCTCCAGAAGATTTCCTAGTACCCACTGCAGGCAAGGTACCTACAGTGACAGTTCCCATACAGAGTTGGTTTGAATTGTTATGTTACACTGTCTGCTTCTACAGCTTTTTTTCCCCCCTCATATAACAGACTTGGGTTTCTTCTGCTTCCTTAACAGCTTCTGGACAGTTTTCAATGTTTATAAATAAGCAAAACACAATACAGGGCAACTTTATGTTCCCTGTAGTGGCAAAAGAAGAGTAAAACAAAGAATAGGAAGATTTGCCTGTGTTTTGAATAGCATTTTTGCCCCAATCCGAGTAGCTTATAGTTGAAGGCTGAGCCATTTCCCTATTCACGTGAAACTATTTTGATGTTGTACAGACTGTAAAAGGAATATTTTACAAATTACTGGGACTTTAAACAAAACAAGTTTAGTAGCATGTTCAGTCACAGATACAAGACTTCCAACAGGAACACTTGGAAACATCAGCTTTAAATACTGGTCATGTGTTCCTTGAGTGCTCAGCCACTGTATTTTTAAAAACATCACATGTGCTGACTTTCTGAGCTTTATCTTTTTAGTCAAGGTCTAAACTGACACTTGTGTACTTCTTATTCTTATTCTTTGTCTTATGTTGGCTTGAAATTGATTATCTACAGGAAATCTACACTTGTGTACTACTTATTCTTATTCTTTGTCTTATGTTGGCTTGAAATAGATTATCTACAGGAAATCTACACTTGTGTACTTCTTATTCTTATTCTTTGTCTTTTGTTGGCTTGAAATAGATTATCTACAGGAAATCTACACTTGTGTACTTCTTATTCTTATTCTTTGTCTTTTGTTGGCTTGAAATTGATTATCTACAGGAAATCTACACTTGTGTACTTCTTATTCTTATTCTTTGTCTTTTGTTGGCTTGAAATTGATTATCTACAGGAAATCTACACTTGTGTACTTCTTATTCTTATTCTTTGTCTTATGTTGGCTTGAAATAGATTATCTACAGGAAATCTACACTTGTGTACTTCTTATTCTTATTCTTTGTCTTTTGTTGGCTTGAAATAGATTATCTACAGGAAATCTACACTTGTGTACTTCTTATTCTTATTCTTTGTCTTTTGTTGGCTTGAAATTGATTATCTACAGGAAATCTACACTTGTGTACTTCTTATTCTTATTCTTTGTCTTATGTTGGCTTGAAATAGATTATCTACAGGAAATCTACACTTGTGTACTTCTTATTCTTATTCTTTGTCTTATGTTGGCTTGAAATAGATTATCTACAGGAAATCTACACTTGTGTACTTCTTATTCTTATTCTTTGTCTTTTGTTGGCTTGAAATAGATTATCTACAGGAAATCTACACTTGTGTACTTCCTATTCTTATTCTTTGTCTTTTGTTGGCTTGAAATAGATTATCTACAGGAAATCTACACTTGTGTACTTCTTATTCTTATTCTTTGTCTTTTGTTGGCTTGAAATTGATTATCTACAGGAAATCTACACTTGTGTACTTCTTATTCTTATTCTTTGTCTTTTGTTGGCTTGAAATAGATTATCTACAGGAAATCTACACTTGTGTACTTCTTATTCTTATTTGTCTTTTGTTGGCTTGAAATTGATTATCTACAGGAAATCTACACTTGTGTACTACTTATTCTTATTCTTTGTCTTTTGTTGGCTTGAAATAGATTATCTACAGGAAATCTACACTTGTGTACTTCTTATTCTTATTCTTTGTCTTTTGTTGGCTTGAAATTGATTATCTACAGGAAATCTACACTTGTGTACTTCTTATTCTTATTCTTTGTCTTTTGTTGGCTTGAAATTGATTATCTACAGGAAATCTACACTTGTGTACTTCTTATTCTTATTCTTTGTCTTTTGTTGGCTTGAAATTGATTATCTACAGGAAATCTACACTTGTGTACTTCTTATTCTTATTCTTTGTCTTTTGTTGGCTTGAAATAGATTATCTACAGGAAATCTACACTTGTGTACTTCTTATTCTTATTCTTTGTCTTTTGTTGGCTTGAAATTGATTATCTACAGGAAATCTACACTTGTGTACTTCTTATTCTTATTCTTTGTCTTTTGTTGGCTTGAAATTGATTATCTACAGGAAATCTACACTTGTGTACTTCTTATTCTTATTCTTTGTCTTTTGTTGGCTTGAAATTGATTATCTACAGGAAATCTACACTTGTGTACTTCTTATTCTTATTCTTTGTCTTTTGTTGGCTTGAAATTGATTATCTACAGGAAATCTACACTTGTGTACTTCTTATTCTTATTCTTTGTCTTTTGTTGGCTTGAAATTGATTATCTACAGGAAATCTACACTTGTGTACTTCTTATTCTTATTCTTTGTCTTTTGTTGGCTTGAAATAGATTATCTACAGGAAATCTACACTTGTATACTTCTTATTCTTATTCTTTGTCTTTTGTTGGCTTGAAATTGATTATCTACAGGAAATCTACACTTGTGTACTTCTTATTCTTATTCTTTGTCTTTTGTTGGCTTGAAATTGATTATCTACAGGAAATCTACACTTGTGTACTTCCTATTCTTATTCTTTGTCTTTTTTGTGGCTTGAAATTGATTATCTACAGGAAATCTACACTTGTGTACTTCTTATTCTTATTCTTTGTCTTATGTTGGCTTGAAATAGATTATCTACAGGAAATCTACACTTGTGTACTTCTTATTCTTATTCTTTGTCTTTTGTTGGCTTGAAATAGATTATCTACAGGAAATCTACACTTGTGTACTTCTTATTCTTATTCTTTGTCTTTTGTTGGCTTGAAATTGATTATCTACAGGAAATCTACACTTGTGTACTTCCTATTCTTATTCTTTGTTTTTTGTTGGCTTGAAATAGATTATCTACAGGAAATCTACACTTGTGTACTTCTTATTCTTATTCTTTGTCTTTTGTTGGCTTGAAATTGATTATCTACAGGAAATCTACACTTGTGTACTTCTTATTCTTATTCTTTGTCTTTTGTTGGCTTGAAATAGATTATCTACAGGAAATCTACACTTGTGTACTTCTTATTCTTATTTGTCTTTTGTTGGCTTGAAATTGATTATCTACAGGAAATCTACACTTGTGTACTACTTATTCTTATTCTTTGTCTTTTGTTGGCTTGAAATAGATTATCTACAGGAAATCTACACTTGTGTACTTCTTATTCTTATTCTTTGTCTTTTGTTGGCTTGAAATTGATTATCTACAGGAAATCTACACTTGTGTACTTCTTATTCTTATTCTTTGTCTTTTGTTGGCTTGAAATAGATTATCTACAGGAA